ATGCCTTTAACATTAAGATAAATGATTCTACTTTGAAATTAGTCGATAAAATAAAATATTTGGGGCTTATGCTTGACGAGCAGCTAAATTGGAATGCTCACGTTGGTCATATAAAGAACAAAATAGTTAGTTCCCTTAGTTGCAGCGTTATACAGATATAACTATTTTTTAAGTGAAATTGCGACATATAAAATTTATAATGCGTATTTCTTGTCGATTATAAGATATCTTATTGCATATTAAAATTTATCATTAAAATAATACAGAACAAAACTAAAAGCAACACTAAAATAACATATATCAATAAAATACACTGCTTAAGAAATCACACTGACATACAGTTACGGAATGCCGGAACAAATATAGAATTGCAAAATTCAATAAGTGCGGTCTCAAAAATATAATCTTTAATCCTTTTGTTAAAAAGTTAAAAAATATTTATTTAAGACTCGAACCTATTATTCAGTTAAAATTCTTTCAGTGCCAATGCTTAATGCATTGTTTAGAAAGTTACCTTAATTCATATCTAGATAGTAAAATAGTGTATTACAATATAATGTGTATATATGTATGATTTTCACATAATTAATTGAAATCCTGCTTGAATAGGCTCTTAGGGATCGGTTTGTTTTTTTGCGATAAGAGATTTGTGGCTGAAAATACGTATGACATTTTTTTATAATTTGTGTTCTCAATTATTCTGTTTTGGTTCTAAGGTGCAAATATCGTGTAAAGATAGTTTTATTTATCATGGCAGTCGCTGTTACCTTTCATCTGATTTTAGAGAAAAATTTAAAGATTCATTTAGATGGGGGAAAAAAGTCGGTAATTGCAGATTCGTGGTGATGCGAAGACCTCGTAAAACTGTCTCCAGGCTTGATAAAATCATTTTAAGGATATTGAAACTTGACCCCCGAAAATAATCCAGACAAATTATAAGATAGACAATGTGGTCTGGGATGTTTTTCTCTATCTGGGACAGGGCCAATCATTGAAGTACTGAGTAAAATGAACCGAATTTTGATATTAATAATCAACAGGAACTTTTAGTATCATTGAATCAGGGTGGTCGCAAATCCCTGCAGAAACCCTACAAAAATTGGCTGATTCTATGCCTAAAAGATGCCAGGCCGACTTAGATGCCTGAGGCTGTCATAAAAAATGCTAAAACTAATAAATAATGCTTTCATAAAATATTTTCCTATAGAATAATAAAACTCTCCCTACTTTTTTCCAACTTTTATTTGAAATTTCTTTCAGATATGAAAATATCAATCCGAACGAAAATAATTCTTTGTGAAGTAACCAAATACTGTTTTAAAAAATATTCTAATTGTGTAAACGGGGCCATACCTTGCAGAAACAGGTATGTCCATGATATTAAAATATTTCCATACTTTTTGTCTTCAAGTCGTTTCTATGGTCGTTACATATTTGTTGGTGATAATGACGACCTAGTGTTGATATGAAAGGCCTAAATTCATTTTTAAGCCTTATTGTGTGAGATATAATCGAGGAACATGTTAAGTCCCTAACCTTTTTCTAAATTAAAAGGAGGTCTGCCTGGGGGGTTCATCATCACGTGATTGTGATGTGACAAACGCAATTTTTTCGTTTAAATGAAGAAACGCAGACTAACGTAACGCCAATAAACGAGAACAAGCATAAATTAAAAATGTTAAATTCAAAATAACGTTAAAAAAATTAAGTTTTAACCCGTTAATAACCAATAAAGTGGTATAAACTTCCTATTGCTAGTAGATTATTCTCCTTCAAATCTATGAATGTTCGCAGGCTAGAATCAGTGTGGCAATATGGCTAATTTAAAAAGGTTTATGTTGTCAGTACCAAGCCCCTTTGTTAAGCAAAAATAAAAATCGTTATTATCCATAATAATTTGATTATTAATGCAAATATATACGGGCTATATTGAAACAAAAGAGAATTTTAATAGAATTTATGAAAAATTACGAAGAAGGAATTAAGTAAATTATGTTAGTGCAAACAAAAAATAATAACAACACCTAACAACAAAAACGTGTTGCCTTAAGAATATTGTTTACTATACAAATAACTGTGCAAGTTGGAAAAGGAATTTCTCTAAGCTGAACATAATTAAGAGCTTTTACGGTTTAGCCAATTTGACAATTGGGCATGAAATTGCTGATCTAATACTTAAAAAATTGATGTGATCTTTCAAATATAATTATACCATATGATTTTTGTTTCATGTAGAATCATAATAGTGAATGTATTGAAGATTTTATGATTTGTCAATCAAATTCTATTGTGTCATTATGTTAATTGAAACGTTCAAAAAAGCCCAGACATCAAAAGTGTAAATTCCATTAGTTCACTTTATTTATTTAAAAAAAAGTACTACGATTAACGGAGCTTGGTTAGGATGTCAATACTCAAAGGTATAAATTGAAGAAAAGTTCACTCTATTTATTTAAAGAAAAGAACTATGAAAGGTTAAGGGAGCTTGGACAGGATGTCAGTATTCAAAAGTGTAAATTGAAGCAAAGTTCACTCTATTTATTTAAAAAAAAAGAACTATGATAAATTAACGGAGCTTGGACAGGATGTCAGTATTCAAAAGTATAAATCGAAGAAAAGTTCACTATATTTATTTAAAAAAAGACCTATGATATATGAACCCAGCTCGGCCAGGATGTCATTATTCTGTTGATAATTAGAAAACTTTTATAGACCATTTTAAAAAATATGAAGGTTGCCTCGGAATAGCATAACAGTAAAACACTTTTACTGGAAAGCGATAAAATTGTGCGTTGACTATGAAAATACTAGAGAACTATAAAGCATTACCGAAGAGAGCAGAAGAAAACGTTTTATCTCGTGTGCTCGTTAAACTTTCATGAAAGGCCAACAGATATTACGGCGTATTCAGGAAAAGACACTAACAATAGTCCCCATTGGAAGCGAAGACAGAGTTTTGGAAAAAAGGTTTGCTAAACTTTTAATCATTCAATGCGCATAGAGAAGACTTCAAATTCCTCTTGAAGGAAACAAGAAATTAACGACTGGTTAAACGCCAAGAAAGTTTGATAAAGAAGAAACTATTACATATAGCAAATTTACAGATAGTTTCATGAAATATGCCGTCGAATAAAAAAAAACATAGTAGAACTGTGCTATACTAAATCCTATAGAACTTGTATAGGCGCAAGTGAAAGGGATTATAGCAAGACAATACGATAATCAAAATGAAATTAGTGTTTTATCCCGCCATTGACCAAGCGACCCCAGAGAACTGCAAAACAATTAGTTCATCTTGTCGTGTTATCGATCTTGACTACTTGACAGGACCGTTGCGACGACCCGTTGATTATAAAGTCAAGATGACAGTTCTTGAGATGACGAAGAATATTGTTTTTTTTTAAATACTTTAATTTCTGCACAATGTTTTTATTTTATTAAAATAATTTTTGGGACGCTTTTGGCACACCACTTCCAGTATGAATGGATAACTATACGAAAAAACCCCTAAATTGACCCAAACCCGGATGGTTTACCTGCACTTGGTACAAAGAAAAAAATTCGGTGAATTTAGTACCAAACAATGAAAGTGACTTAAGCATACCTAACGAAGTTTGATTACTCTACACCTTTCTGAAATAGACTGTATCACACTTTAGAAGAACTATAGCAATATACTTGCCAACTTGGATAATTCGCCTGTTACGATATTTAATTATCGCTTTATTTCATAGGGAATGCTTTTAGTTTTGATAGCTTGAAGGCAAAATGCAAATATGTCCTTTGAGTTATAGGTCTCTATTTTTGATTTAACTGTCAACGGATTTGGGGCTCAGCGCGAAAACTAAGGCATTCCTCAGCAGGCGAGGACAACATTACTTTAAAAATGCTTTTTTATGCCATTTCCTACCATTGTCAGGACTTTGGTTAAAGCGCGAAAAAACGAGTTAATGCGCACCTTGTCAACAATGGCATAATTCCAACAACAAAACGTCATATTGTATCTTATAGCATTGCTCCCAGTGGTCGGGTTTTAACAGTTAAGTTTCTCTAATGTGTGCAAGGTATAGCTAATGCACAATAAGCGCCGTTCCTATGTCACTTATTAAATAAAAAAGCTTAAAACAGGGTATTTTCGATATCACATAATTGCTGATAATATTTGAGTATTTTTAAGGAAAGTTGCAATTAAAATAAAAACATTTCGTCTAACAAATTATCTTTAGAAAATTCCTCAAGCAATAATTTTGTAAACGAAAACTAAAGAAAAAATCTAAATCCTACAATAATCTGTAATAACTAATAAAAACATTGATATTCGAATTAATTAATAAGGTATATATCATCAAATCGAACACAATTGATATATGTTTGCAAATTGATTTTAGTGGACATCGATAGACTAAAATCGTTAATCCGCCTCACCTTAAGTAGCATTTTTATTTGCCAATTCTAGAATATTAAACATTATACGAGATGATTTTTAAATTTTCGGCACTTCCGACGAATAATCAATAAAATTTTCTTTGTCCTTCTGTATCAGGATCATGTAGGGTCCTCCACTAAATATAAAAGAAAATCATTATAGGTTTTAACGTAGTCAAATTTCTAAAGATATAACACGAACTCCGCAATTTTAATTTTAAGCAGTGTTGCCGAAAAGTGTGCAAACGAATATATTAGTATTTCCAAACAATTGTCTAAATCATTTTCGTTTAACGCACATTAATATTCGCTTCAGTCGTTTCAACAAGTCAATTTTTAGTTCTGGTTTTCTATTTCAAAGAAAAGAGGATCTCAAATCATTAGCGACACACTACCACCAAACCCAGTAGTACGGTGTGTTCTGTATTGGGAACTTTAAAGTTTGTTATCATTATCATTTCAAAGAAATTGCTTACTTCACCGAACCTTAATATATCACTGGTCCAAACTATTACGAGAACGGAACAAAGGAAGATGAAATAAAACCAAAGGTGTCAAAAATAGTTACAGTCTTTATTAACATGAATAGGGCTCATTATCACAGTTGTAGTTGTTAACAATTGGCAGACTATATTATGAGTTGATTGCTATAACTACATGTTCATTATAAAAATACTCAACGTAAATCATAATTTACCCAAGTACTTGTTCTCGGTTTAAGTACAACTACTAAACTGTTCGTAAAACGTAAACATAAAACATTATAATATTATGGGCGCTTACGTTTCTTATAAGACTGTTTTCTTAAAATGCGGAGATCTTCATTGTATGTATATGCGGAGTACATCGGTTTTTCGTCAAAGTAAAATGCCACGCATTGTAAATATTACACAACGTAAAATATACTAATCTGTATAAATATATAAATTAACAATTCTGAACACAATAAAAACTGTGACTTTATATCCAAAAGACGATCTGACAAGTCCTTAAAGTTGGCGAAGCCAACATATCTGTCACATTCTAAAGGCACATAAATACCCGTTGCCAAACTGTGCAGCGTGTCCCATAACTTATCCGCCATCGGTAAAGATGGCGGAAAATGTAAGTTGTTAAAAGGTAATCTTATGTTAAAAATTGGCTGCAGGGCTTTAGACGTTCTGGAAGCAACTTAGGAGGTCACTGGATATAACGTCACTGATCACAAATAATGAAGTATTAAAGACAAAATGGTAGGTAATCCGTTAACTATACAGGGTGTTTCAGAATTCAGTACAAATATCCTTTTTTCTTTTTTTCGTGTCCTAATTTGTTTCGTTTCAGATTGTAGAAAAAAGAAACGATTTTGTTAATAAACTTTTAGCTGATTTTGACAAAACCTATTTGTCGTCATAAGGGTCTTTATTTTGCGTAATTAAAATAAAAGTATTCATTTCAGTGGCGTCCCAGAGGACGACCCCTATTTTTTTTGTTCCTCCTCCTAGGTTTTTAAAATAAAAATGAAAAACCGCTGCCCTGCGTGGTCTGAAGGATCTGATTTTTTAATTATTAACTCACAAACACACTTTTAAAATCATTTTAACAAAACTGTTGTATTTCTGATTGCTTGATTCAAAAAAAAAATTAAATCTTCTAAACATTAGTGGCGTACTATGATTTTACCTATAAATTCCAATTATCATTTTATTTTAATTAAACACAATGTAGTCAACCATGAGAGTAAATACGCGTGTCAAGTTTTGTCAAGATCAGCTACAAAATTCTTGAGTATTTAATACATTTTGACACCCCGTATCTCGAAAACGATCCAAGTTATTTAATTTAAGTTGAAATTAGGAAATATGCTTTGAAAAATATTACGTTCAATAAATTCATAAGTTACACTTAATATAATTAATGGAGACGCCAATAAATATAGATAACTTTCACAGTTTTATCTGTTGAAAACAAAACATTTATGGGGAATGGCATAAAGAAAGTGCCACTATTTAAGCCAAGAGAATATTTAGTTAACGGAATGACGGGCCTTTTTGTAAAACCCTGTATAATTGCACTAGCAAGTTTTTCTTATACGTATTCAGACATAAATTAAAGAAGAACAATACGATAAGAAAGACTCGAAGAAAAAGTTATTCAAAAAATAGGTTAATCTTCGCGGAAAAAAATCATCCAACTTTCCGGAAACCTCGCCCACAAAGAAAAAGAACAAACGATCTAATCCGCAATTATCCACCCATGGCCGTTTTTCAAACTTAACATTTCTAATATCAGGACAGGACACGTATGGGACGTTCACAAAAAACGAAACACAGAACAATCGGGTCTAAATCGACAATCTATGTTTTCTTTTTTGGGCTCATATATTAACCTAAACCTACGTCCAAGCTCATCATGACCAGGAAACCGATGATGGCACCCCAGGTGGCCAGCTTGCCATTTTCACTGAAATAAAAAAAAAGTGTAAGTACAGGGCACTCGAATGGGTGGGCAAGGATCAACTAACATTTTTGTTAATTACAGAAGAAATAATATATTGGGTTGTTCGGAAAGTCATTTCGTTTTTTTTTTGGGGAACATGAAAGACAGTTTTCGTATAATAAATAAATATTTTATTAAATTATTTATTGGCCATTCTGGTCCAACATCTTTTGCCATCTTTCTGGCAGTAACATAATTCCCCTCTCATAAAAGTTTTGGTCCTTGCTGGCAAAAAACTGGTCCAGGTGGTTTTTGACATCTTCATTTGAGGTAAAGGTTTTGCCATCCAAAAAATTTTGCAGGGATCGGAACAAATAGTAGTCGGAAGGCGCCAGATCTGGAGAATATGGTGGATGTTGCAGTACGTCCCATTCAAGCTGTAAAAGTTTTTGGCGAGTGACCAAACTTGTGTGAGGTCTCGCATTATCCTGGTGGAACACTACACCCTTCCTGTTGATTAATTCGGGCCTCTTCTCTTTAAGTGAATCATTCAATTTGTCCAGTTGATGACAATAGACTTCTGAATTAATCGTTGTATTGTCCGGCAAAAGCTAAAAAAAAAAGATTCCTTTGACATCCCACCAAACGGAGAGCATCACTTTTTTTTGGTGAATGTTGGCTTTTGACACGCTTTGAGCCGGTTCATCTTTTCTGCTCCATGACCTCTTGCGTTTAACATTGTTGTATACAACCCATTTTTCGTCCCCAGTAATAATCCGCTTCAAAAATGGATCATTTTCTTGACGTTTGAGGAGCGAATCACACACGTCAACGCGACGACACAAATTTCGCTCCGTAAGGACATGGGGCACCCACACATCTAGCTTCGAGGTTAAGCCCATGCCTTTCAAATGGCCATAAACAGTCGAATTCGACAAATTTAATCTCTCACCGATCTCTCGTGTGGTTATTCGCCGATTTGCATCAACTAATGCCTTTATCGCATCTTTGTTAGCTTCGACCGGCCTTCCAGACCGTGGTGCATCTTCGACATCAAAATTGCCGGATCGAAATTTTGCAAACCAGTTCTGGCACTGGCGTACTGTACTTCTCCATACACATCCGCCAATTTTTTTCTCGCTTGGACAGCATTTTTACCTTTTCTGAAGTAAAAAAGTAAAATATGACGAAAATGCTGCTTATTGCTCTCCATATTTAAAAGGGCATCAACCAAAAACTACTGCGTAGAATTAATAGAATTTTTTCACACACAAGCCTTGCAATATCAGCTCTCAAGACATATAATGGTTACGCGGCTTAAGTGTGAAGTTGGTTTCGAAAAAACGTAATTAAGTCCCCTGACGGGAAAAAACGAAATGACTTTCCGAACAACCTTATATTTCGTTGTTGGCGACTTTATAGTAACGGAAGTTTGTTAAACGCCATTTTAGTCATGAGTTTGAATTCACAGGAACGGGGAAATTGTTTAATAAACCACCGTGTTGCTTTCTACAATAAATTAAATTTGTGCCTCAGTTTACAGGCTCTTTCCCAATGTCATCCACGCTCAGTATCCGGTGTTCCATTTCATTTCCTGACACCCCCATTTTGTATTGAAGGCGAACGCAATCTCCTCCCGATTCGTTAGTTAAATATTATCCCCGCTTATTGTGGAAATTTGTAATGTCGAACAAAATAATTTACAAGGGACGGCAAGGTAGCCGTCCCTATGCAGAAAAATTCATTTATCTCATAGCGTTGGAAAAAAGTTACTTTACGCCATTACTGGGCAGGTATCTTTTTTTGTATTTGCCTCGCGTTTCCAAAAACTCGGGGCAGTTGCTTGACGAGACGTGTGAGTCATCGGTAAAAATTGTATGCTAATAAAATTGTTGTTAACGAAATGAGATACAGACGGAACGATTTAAAAGAAACAATAACATCGTGTGAGTGGCGTATGTTGTCATTGTATGGGTCACAAAAACTGGCTGTGATGAATCACGGGTAATATTGTCCACTGCACGCGGGCTTCATGTATACGGGGTGCACTCACTACGCATGGTGTATATAACGATAATTTAAGCCCTCAAGTAATTATCCACTATAAGACATAAGAACACAAAATATTACATTAAGAAATGTGGTTGATGATGAAGATGAAAAGATACAGTAGTGGAAGTTGTAGGGTATGGTGTTCCTTAGGGGACTGTTTTCGACCACGTTGTTGATATTTCACGTCGATGACTGGTTTAAAGGAGAACTGATATGTTTTGTAGGTCACTGTGCCATACTTTACACTACCTAGTCTAGCGATTCACCGCAAATACTTAAGCGGTTCAGTAGTCAGCCGTCAACTTTGAAAAGACAAGTTTTTTTATACTCTTCGGTTGCCATCCCGACTCTCTGCATGATATTAAACTTAATATTAAAATAAAATTAAATTATTTAGTCTCCATCTAAAACAAAAATAAGATATTACGTATTAAAATCTTTAATCACAAATCTTAAAGAGTAAAGAAAAAAGTTAAAATTTATAAAGATTTTACACCTGTTGAGCCAGATTTAACACATTATGCAGCAATAGTTTGGTGGAGGACATTATGTTTAGAGTAGGACATATTAAAATGATAAAATAAGCTTATATCAATTTTTATGTTGGCAACTTGGTAAAGGGGAGACCAGACCAACGAAGCATACTCAAGTATACTTTTTACTAATGAGTTGTACAAGGTTTCAAAAGTGTTTATTTGTTGAAAATTTGATCCGTAGCTGTGAATAAAGCCCAACATTAGACACGAACTTTTCGTTGTGTTCGTATATGTATTTCGAAGCTGATTTGTTCGTCTAAAATTACGCCCAGATCTTTAATTTGCTTTTTTGTGCTTATATTATATTATTGAGTCGAGAATTATATTTTAATGGATATTTTTTTCGTGTAATCATTTTTTTTAAAACAGAATCATAGTAAAAAAAACAGCAATACTCTACATAAAAGCAGGATCAAATATAGTTATCGATTAATAGTTATATTATGCGGTGCGGTGCGGTGAACGGCATTTGGCTCACGAGTTTAATAAACGAGTGATTTAAAAAGCGTATCGAACGTGTTCCATACTATACTTTTTCTACGACCGTTAGTTTTTGGGTACAATTGCTCAAAACAACACGAATACATTCACTGACATGACCGTCAGAACTGGTAATCGTCAAAATTCAAGGCGTAGGAAATATCTCCGAAAACATCCGATGGCTCCCAATCCGGTGCGGTAAAATCCCGGAAATGTCCGAAGGGGCTCGGATCGGTGGGAAACGAAACTGACGTGGTAAAGTGACGCTTCCCATACGCTAGATCGGTAGGTAATTAGGCATTTTACAGACGGGAGTTGAAATACATCTTTCTGGTTAATTAAGAAAGGTCATGCTCTGCTAATTCAAAGGTATAGTTAACGCACAAAGGTGACAAATATATTGTAAACTCGATCAACTGCATATATCTAATTATTTCAAACCAAGACCCAACTAATTATCTATAAAATAATTTTTCTGCTGACAGCAATAAAATAAAAAATAAATATATGTAAATTACCACCGATAAGAACTACTGTGTTATTTTCCTTGCTACAATATTCGAAACATTTTAATACCCTTTAAAATTCAAATAATTTACAGCCTTACGTCACAGAATAAACTACAACCAAAAGGATAACTCTCAGTTTTGGCGTGAAACTTTGCCTAGCCTAAAAATTAAGATAAAACTCGCCCATGAAGTGCTGGCCACTATTCAATTCATTGCAAGCTTTAGTCAAGATCGGTGACTGTTCGTATGTTAAGTAGGAGTACGCAATAAATGTAATACTTTGTTCAACTCCCTTCTCTAAAATATCTAATTATACACTTATCTAGCGTGCGGGAAGCGTTACTGCGCCACGTGTGTTACTTGTATCACGGATTCGAGCCCCTTCAGACATTTCCGGGATATTACCTCACGGGTTTGGGAGCAATCGGATGTTTTCGGAGATTTTACCGCACGATTTGAATTATGAAGTTTTTCAATTCTGACGGTCATGTCACTGAATGCATTCGTGTTTTTTTGCAAAAATATACCCAAAAACTAAAGGTCGTAAAAAAGGGAGAGTACGAAATACACCTGGTAAACTTGTTAAGTCACTAGTTTATCAAGCACTCGCTTCACTCGTGCCAAATATTTTTACAAAAACGAAATCCAATTTCTACTTTTAAATTGGCACGTAGCGCCCTTTAAATTTTCCTATAAGATAAAATCGGCAAAATATTTTTTTAATAATGCCGGATATGTATTGCTTAATTGACATTGACATTACTGATTGTACCACGACGCCCCCGTTCTAGAACATCACAAAGTACGTCTAATTTTTCCATCAATTTTATCTTGTTGAAAGAAACGAAAAAGTAAACCAAACAGGGAACGGACACTCCTTACGCCATGAAAATAGCAATTTTTAAAAAGGACAGGATCCTTTAATATCGTTTTAAAATTAATGTACTAGGTGTGCGATTGTTATTACAGCCCATCATTAGGGCACGTATATTCCGAACATTGTTTACATGCTTCTTTCGTTCTTGCAGTTGGCAACATCGGCCGTTCCGTCGTTATCTCGCGCAGCAACAAACGTTGAACTTTGGTCCCGCCATTCAGGAAATGCACCACAGACGACGAATGTTGAACGACGCACCGCCATGCTACAGCATGTCTTTATTTATCGGGTGTCCCATAATTAAAATCATAGGCCCTAACTTTTGATTTTTTTTCCGAAAAGAAAAAAAATACCTTCGAAAAACACCCCTCACGACACCCCGTTATTTTTTGAATTTTTGAAATGATTTAAAATATCCGGTTTTGAAATACTATTATGATACACCACAGTTCGTTATTATTAAAAAAATATACTTATCGATAAGATTGACAGATTGTTCATTTTAACAATTCTCAAATTTGGCCTTTCTGCTAAATTTGTTGATGATTGTTTTTCACAAAAGTTGATTCT